GACTGTCTGAACCTCTGTGGCTCAGTGTCATTGGAAATAAAATACTTTTCCCAAGCAGCTCTAGCTACTGGCCTTAACCGTGTGGAGCATTTTGAGCAATTTGGGAGGTATAGGGCCAGGTAGGTTAGAAAAGACGGGTTGGTTACCAGGGCATGACCCTTCTGTCTCAGAGCAGAGCACATGGATTTGAGTTGAGGCTCAGGAGAAAAATCATCAGGAATTAGCGAGCAGGCTCAAGAATGATTCAGAAGTGGTGAGCCATTCACCCAGTGGGAATGGTTAAAGAGGCTTCTTGTGAGGGAGACTAAAGGGATTTGTGATGGAGGTGAGGAGTTCAGAGGCAGGGCAAAGAATCATGAAGGACTACAAGACTTCAAAAGGCAGTTATGAGGGAGGCTGAAGAGGGGGAAATTAATAACAAAAGAAAAAAGGGGACCAAAGGAGGCAAAAATACAGAAAAATAAAAGACAAGACATGACTAAAAATAGAAAAGTGGAGAAGAAAAGGAAACAGGAAAAAGGTAAAATGTTTTGGCATTCAGAAACATGAGATGAAGCAGGAGAAGAGGAGGACAAAAAGAAATGGAAGAAGAAAAGAAAAAGGGAAGCAGGCACCTTTTAGGGTACTAAATTTAGTAAAATGTATTGATTCTCCTATTTTGTGCTGTACTTCCAGAAAGATGTCCTGTATCTGAGTTTGAATAAATGCAGTGAGCTGGCTGACTGTTTGGAGCACTTGCATTCAAACAGTTCCACTGTCCCAGCACTTGACGCAGGATCCAGCCCTTGCTGAATGGTTGAGCACTAGAATCTCAACCTTTTAAACTTTATGGTGCTTTTGGTACTGAAGAAAAAACTATCCACCAAAATAAATTAAAACTTTGCTGTCTTCCTCAGCTTGTTGGCAGCCTGAAGCTGACACCAGGACACGTGATCTGTCCCATTAATATAAATGCACATTGACTCTGAAACTGTGTGATAGTTTACAAGGTGCCAAACAGTTTTCTGCTCCCAATCCACCCAAATTGCCAGAACTTCTGAATGTATTCTACTCAGTTGTAAAAACCACTCTCTTCTCCATAGACAAGGTTTTTTGGGGTAAATGTGATATCTTTTATTAGACCAACTAAATAGTTGGAAAAATTGTTCTTTGCAAGCTTTTGAGTACAAACACCCTTCTTCAGGCACAGGGAGAGTTTGTTGTTGCTTGGGTGCTCTCCTGGGTGGAATGGAGGCCAGTATGCAAAATGCAGGTCTGTGAAAATGCAAATGCATAGCAGTGAGGATCAAGGCCCTGTGAGACGATAGGTGTGAGACAGGTAGTTGGGGGGAAGTGGGGGGATTTTAAGTGGTGATAGAATGTAGCTGGTAAAATGCAGACAGGTTACATGGGGTTATCAGATGGCAGGCAGGTTATAATGTGCTGTGAATCCAATGTCCATATTTAGTCCAGTAGATTTATGAAGTGAAGTTTGTAGGCTCGTCTACGAAGGGTGTTTTGTAAATTCCCTTTGAGGATTAGAACTGAGAGATTGGAAAGACAGTGGTTGTCTTGTGAGAAGTGTGTGCCCACAGGTAGTTTGGTATTCTTGTCTTTGATAGATAGCTCCCTAGGTTTCAGTGTAAGAAGCCTTTTCATTTTTGCTTTATCACACATCCAGCTCTAAGTGCTGCTCTTTGCTATCTGCTGTCAGGAGTTGTCAGGAGTTATCAGGAGTTATAGCCAAGACAGTCTTGCATATATTTTGGAAATAAGCAATCTGGACCTTCCGACATGGTTGCTATTTCTGTTGTGCATCTAGAAGAGGTATGTGATATCTCAGTAATAAACTATACCTTTTTTCCTAAAAGCTTAGATACACATCTGTAACAGGGTGGTCGTTTCTAAAGGAAGCAGTCCTTCAGGCACAAAGGGAGACTATCCCAGTACCAGGGAAAAGGGGGAAAGGAGCCAAGAAACTTCCTTGGCTAAACAGGGAAATCCAGGGGAGCCTAAGGGCAAAAAAGATGGTATATAGGCAGTGGAAGCAGAGTGAAGCTACCAAGGAGGAGTATACCTACTTGGCCTGCACTTGCACGGAGGCCGTTAGAAAAGCCAAAGCAACTACAGAGCTGAGGCTGGCAACGCAAATTAAAGACAATAAAAAGTCTTTTTTTTAGGTATGTGGGGAGTAAAAGGAAAATGCAGGGCAGCGTAGGACCCCTACTGAACAAGAAGGATCAATTAGTGACAGAGAGGGGGGACAAGGCTGAGCTATTCAATGAGTTTTTTTGCCTCAGTGTTCCTGAACAGGGCTCAAGATAAGTCTCTTAATGGGTTTTTAGATGGGCATCAGAGGAACACCAGCCCACCAGCTGTTGACGCTGACTTGGTGCAGAGCCACTTGGATGGACTGGATGTGTTTAAGTCAGCAAGTCCAGATGAGCTGCATCCGAGAGTATTGAAGGAATTGGCCAGTGTCATAGCAGAACCACTGGCACAGCTGTTTGAGTGCTCGTGGCACTCGGGTCAGGTCCCGGAGGACTGGAAAAAGGGCAGTGTGGTCCCTATTTTCAAGAAGGGGAGGAAGGAGGATCCAAGTAATTTTAGGCCAGTCAGTCTCATCTCCATCCTTGGAAAGGTCATTGAAAAGTTTATGAAGGATCATATTTGTGGGAGTCCAGCAGGAAAAATAAGGGAGCAGGGCAACCAGCATGGATTCGTAGCAGGTAGATCATGCCTGACTAATCTGGTTTTGTTTTATGACAGGGTCACAAAATGCTTAGACACAGGAGTGGAGGTGGATGTCATTTTTTTGGATTTTAGCAAGGGCTTCAATATGGTATCTCATCCCATTCTCCTCAATAAATTAAGAGGCTGTGACATGGATGTTTACACGGTCCAGTGGGTGGCAAATTGGCTTAGCAGTCGCACCCAGAGAGTGGTAGTAGATGGGTCGTTATCTACCTGGAAGGATGTGGGTAGTGGGGTCCCACAGGGTTTGGTCCTTGGTCCTGTACTCTTCAATATCTTCATCAGTGACTTGGATGTGGGTGTGAAGTGTACTCTGTCCAAGTTTGCGTACAATACTAAATTGTGGGGTGAAGTACACGCTCTGGAGGGTAGGGAATGATTGCAGGCAGACCTGGACAATTTAGAAAAGTGGGCAGTACACAATAGGATGCAGTACAACAAGGACAAATGCAGAGTGCTGCACCTAGGGCACAACAATATCCAGCACACCTACTGGCTAGGAAGTGACCCTCTCAGCAGCACAGAAGCGGAAAGGGATCTCAGGGTCATAGTGGACTCCAAGATAAACATGAGTCATTAGTGTGATGAAATCATCAGCAAAGCTAACTGCACTTTATCATGCATCAGGAGATGCATGACAGATAGAACCAACGAGGTGAAACTTCCCCTCTATGCGGCAGTGGTCAGACCGCAGTTGGAGTACTGTGTCCAGTTTCGGGCGCCGTACTTTAAGAAGGATGTTGATAGACTTGAAAGGGTCCAGAGGAGGCCGCTCGTATGGTTAAGGGCTTACAGGACAAGCCCTATGAGAAGAGACTGAGGGACCTGGACCTCTTCAGCCTCCGCAAGACAAAGCTGAGAGGTGATCTTGTGGCCACCTACAGATTCATCAGGGGGACGCAGCAAGGGATTGAAGATGCTCTGTTCACCAGGGCGCCTCTTGGGGTAACAAGGAACAATGGTCACAAACTGACAGAGAGCAGATTTAGGCTAGACATCAGGAAAAACTTCACAGTAAGGGTGGCCAAAACTTGGAGTGGGCTTCCAAGGGAGGTGGTGCTCTCCCCCACCCTGGGGGTCTTCAAGAGAAGGCTGGATAGGCATCTGGCTGGGGTCATCTGACCCCAGCATTCTTTCCTGCCTAGGCAGGGGGTCAGACTTGATGATCCATTGAGGTCCCTTCCCACCCTAGCATCTATGAATCTATGAACATACTGTAGGACCAGACTTTATTCTGTGCCTGCCAGTCAGTTATATACATAGTTCACATGCTGCGCTCATATTATTGTTATGAAGCATAATACCACAGAGGAGTAGTGCAAATATGCTGGCATACAGGAACATCTAGAATTAAATCTTTAAGTAATTATGGTGCTATTCATGGTGTCTTGTACATCTTAAAGTCAGTACACTGCAACTAATATGAAAACTGAATTGGAAACGCACACTTTCAAGCCAGCTCACTGACAAATTAAGCTTTCAATTTGCTTCTCAGATAGAAGTAAGCTACAAACATTCAGCTGGTTTATGGTCAGGTGTGAATTGTGTGCACAAATACTCACTAACCAAGACACAGCTTAGAAACATTTCCATCCCTCTCCACTGGCTGGGAATTTGGCTCTTGTGCTCTGCTCAGCCCCTTCCATGTCCTGTTCCCTTTCCCCCTCCACCTGCCTGCAGCTCATTTTTTTGTGCTGTATTCCTGTTCAGCCTTTCTGCATACCCTGGCTGCTGAACTTAATGTCCTTCAGCCCACCCCACAGAACTGAGGCTTGTCCAGTGGCCAGGAAAGCACAGGCCCAATTATCCATGCAGTGCCCCTGTTGCTTGAGGACAGTGGGATTTGTCACAGCCCAGTTCTCTCTATGGGTGGGAAAAGGAGGGGGTAGGGGAGAGATCTGCCTTCTGACGCAAGAAAGGAGTCAGGAGCTAGAAATGAAAAAACTGAATCTAAAATTAAATTAACTTTTAAGGCACAAAAGAACAAAGAGCTATAAAAAGGAATAATTTTAAGCAGCTATGAATTGGGTGTAAATGTATAGCCTTTACAATCATCCACTAGTCTGATAAGGGCCCCAATCTTGCAAACACTTGTGGATGTGTTTAACTTTAAATGTGTGTAGTCCCAGTAACTCCCAGGGGCCTGCATGGTTAAATTAAGGACATGGAGATAGGCTTGCAGGATCAGATCCTGTGGCTGTAATTCAGGAGATGCTATTTCTCTGCATATTCTATATAATTCTTCTGAACTGATTTCTTCTGAACAGAACCTTACACCTGTGGAGCTTGTGGAATCCAGTTCCAGTTTTATAACAATCTCCTGGAACACATGCAGTCCCATGCAGGTAAGTTGGGCACAACCAATTCATATGGTTGAATGACAGAGTTTCACCTGATGCCAACTCCTCTCACTGTGCCAGTGGAGTTTCCTGAGCTTACAATTTTTAAAGACCATGCAATTTCACGTGGCATTCTCAGGAGAAAAAAAGTTAGATGAACTAGAGCATGGGGCAGTGGCTCCCAGAGCACAGGGCTCTTTAAGTGATTTAATGGGTATTTCAAATCACTTTCTGTGGGTAGGTCAAAAGTGTATATTGTACTCATATGTTGTGTATCAAATCACACCACTCTCTTCTCATCCCAGCAATATCTAGGAACCGATCATTCCATTAGCAGTCATCAGCCACTCCACTCAGTGGAATTCAGATCTAAAAAGCAGATGGAGATCTTCTGTGCTGAGAAAAAAGCCATCCTAGACTCAGGCAAAGCAGAGTTTCTCCCCAAAGCCAATAAAACCTTTGTCTTCATCGTTACTCTTCCCTGCTCATAGTTGTTGTAGCTGTGGTGTAGAGAATGAAAATTTCATTTTAGGAAGGATGGTGAGATTTGAACACTAACCTGTAGTGTCTAATATACCAAATGCCCCCAAATAAGACATGCACCTTGTTTTTTGGGAAGGCAGAACACAAAAAAAAAGATATTTCCACTGGAGAGTCAGCTGAGCCCGGCCAGCCATGACAATGACAGGGAGCAGGTGGAGGGTTAGACTCTGCTGGTGGTTTCAGATCAGCCTGGGTGATCAGCTGTAGGGTGCCAGGCTGAGGACCAAGGTTCAAAGCCGTGGTGTGACAGTTTAGCTTGATTAGTGGAACATAAAGATCATTAAAAAGGAAAGATGATCATTAACAGTTGCAAAGAACAATATGCCGTTGAATCAATTGACTTACTCAGCTGCCTGAATAGTAATAGTAATGCCACTGCTGCTGTACTGTGGAGCAGGAATCAAATCAGCGTGGGTTTTACTCTAGGCAGGAGGTCAGCTTCCCTGCTTAAGACACACACTCCAGTTTGGGGGATGAGGTGGGCTGATTTTGAGAGGAAAGGTATGTGTGGTATGTGAGTAAATATGGTATCTTCATTCGGTCGTTGAATTCTTCACTATTTGGCAAAAGACATTTCTGGGGAAAAATAGTTTGGGCATTCAAAACATTTTTGCTTCCATTTTTCTTTTTTTGTTTTCAAGAGTTTTTATCTCAGTATAAATTTCAGTATGGGAAATCAGTGCATTTCAACCTATACATCTCAAAACAGGACACTGCCTTTCGTACAGTGTCCCTATGCACTGTGTGGCAAAGGCCTTTCGGTGTTTTACTGAATGCATTCACTGAAAAAGCAGTGACACCTCAGCATGGTGTGTGCTGGCACTAAGCTCCCACTTGCCCCACTGTACTGAGGAGTCTGGCATCATGACAGTATGTCTGTTAGAGTATTACACCCGCATCCCACACATGCAGCGATCTGATAGGGCTGTGGATAGTGTCAAATGCCTTTCCTGATAGGGCATGGAGAAACCCAGTTTAACTTGTCATTTCTGAAGTCTTTTCAGAGTGTTTATGGTAAATATCTAATCTTCCAACTGAAAATGATGAGTCTATTAGACCCTTTTACACAAGCGACTGAAGACCGGGAATATGCTGCTAGTCTCAAAGAGTAAGAACAGGGCTTTGTTGGCACTTGAATCATGCAGAGGGCTGAGTCTTGAGGCTAAAAGGTAATTAGGAAAGATTATAGCTCTGTAAAATAGCTACACAATGGGAAGAAGCAATTAGAATGTAAATTGGAGACTGAGAGGCAGAAATAGCACGGCAGAATACAAGGCAAAGGAATTTGTTCTGTAATTATACTGTGCAATATACAGCTTTGACTCCCTTTAGAGTACTTTGTTCAGGTCTAGTGCTACCATATAATGCCTTTTTTGCAATCTACTGCTAAAATAAAGAGGACAACAAGGCTGAACCTGGATTAAAGGATTGGAGGCATGAAGAGAAATTAAAGAAGAGTGATCTATCTAGACTCAACCTGACTGATAAAAGAGGATGAGAATGAACTGCATAAATCCTATTAACACCATATCAAATGCCAGTGGATAATTGCACAAAATAAATCTCCTAATATTATGAAATAGATTTAAAAAGGGAAATACGGTTTTCCTCTTGCCAGGACCAGAAGGCTGTCACATGAATGGGTCTTACCTGAACAAAATTGGAACAGACACAATGCCTGTCACATTAGCTACCAGCAGATATACAGAATTCATACTATCTGTGCTGCTGGCAACAGAGCAGTTAGAATAGACAGAGCTGGGGAAAATCCAGCCAGTCATTTCTGATTTCCAGCATTTTGCAGAAGGTCTCCTGTTTCTCCTTTCTTCTTTCCATTCGCACAAAGGCTTGTGTAGTTGCCTTCTTTCTGACTTGACTCTGTGGTCTTGGAGCTCAGCATCAGGCTCTCCAAATACTGGACATCCCCTTCTAGGTACACTGTGTAAGGTCTTGGCTCCCTTGGACAGGCAGAGAGACCCCTGACAGGCCCACAACCAAATCCGTGCCCTATTATTTGTTCGTCTGCTATAGAATCACAGTTTAGTTATGGAGGCGGTGTTCTCTTCCATTTTCAACCATTTCCTGAATCTCTCTTGAGTGAGATCCAGTGAGTTGTTGGCCTAGGACATTGCCAATGCAATGCCCAGGCAGGATAAAAGTAGGGTAGTTTGTGGCAACTGAATTTACCCTGGTGCAGGCTGGGGTGAGGGGGAGCAGGCAGAGAGGGCCTATTCAGTGTATGTGACATATAAGAGGTGAAGGGAGAGTTGAACAATGGTTACAAACCAAGAAGAGTAAATCAGATTTCAGCCTCACAAGAAGTACTATCACTGAGCACTACAGTAAGCAGGTTATTCAGCCTAGGGGCAGCAATGAACAGGTCCAAAGGAAATTTTTACCTGGTTTTCTGTGGTGGAGAAAAACATATTTTTAATCTTACAAAATCTTCAGGTACCAGGAGGCTGAGGATAGCATAGGGCATAGGCAGATGTAATGTTTGTAGTGCTTTAATCAACTTTAAAGTGCTATAAAAACTGAGTAGACAGGGGATGCACTGTGTCCTAGTCCTGTGAATTAGTCCACGCTATATCAGACTCTGAAGTGTTTCTCAGGGATACTTTAGCTGGGAGGCTGTTTTTTCTGCCCTTATACTACTGAAGCTCTACAAATTTAAATTGCTTCAAAAATATTTGAGTGCTTTATATGTATGTCTCTCCATATCTCCAAAAGCCCAGGGCAGGGCTGCCCAGTTGGCTGCTCATGAGCTGCATGCAGCCCCAAGGGATTGACTTGTGGCCCCCTCTGGCTCCTAGTCTGGGTGCCACTACCTACATTGCTCTCCTGCTGCTGCTGCCAGAGTTTCTGGGCTGCTTCCTCCTCCAGCTTCCCCTTCCTACCACCACCCCTGAGGGACTGTGGCAGTGCTGAGGACTTGGGGAGACCAGGGTGCTTGGAGAGTCCCAGGGACACCAGCAGGGTGTGGCTCCAACCACTCAGAAGTTGGAAAGATAGGAAGGTTGCTACGAGGTAGGAACTTAAGGGGATAAAAAAATAAATCAAGAAAAGAACCAGAGATCAAATTTGCTTAAAACCCTCTCCTTTTCAGTTTTTTTTGCACTTACCCTCACAAAAATCTCTTGCTTATTCCAGAAATTAAAGTGACAGCTGTTTTAGGCCCTACTGAAAACACTCTAGATGTCTTCTCTTGGCTCTACAGTCACAGCTAGCTAACAGATGTGCTCCTGAGGCTGTGCTGATGGCATCAGTGGCACTAAAGCAAAAACAAGTTACTGTTATTTCAGCTGCATTAAGGAGATTTGGGGCAATATGCTGTGTGTGTCTGCATACATGCAAACCTTGAGAACAGAGCAACTGCAAGGTTAAAAACATCATTTTCTATTGTTAGTTAACTATTAAAAACCTACAGAAAAATATAGTAGAATAGGGTTACCCTAACAAAGGAAAGTAAAAGTAAAAAGTATTGGAGACCATTTTCCCTTTCTGTGCTTTAAGCTTATTCCTATCTTACTGTCCCGAGGAGACTGAGAGTACAAGAACTGACATAGACCATCCCAGCACATGGCCACCATGTGTTTCCTTCCTAGTGAAATGCATGTCCCCCACCTCTGACTAATGTATTCATGTCTTGTGCCCCACAGCTGACAATGAGAACAACATTGCCTCTAATCAACCCAGATCACCTCCGACTGTTGTGGAAGAAAAGTGGAAACCACAGCTCCAAAGAAACAATGCCAATAATAGTATGTAGCAGTGTTTTCTCTTTGAGCAGTATATTTTACCTGTAGGTGCTGAACAAGTGACTCTGTATCTGAGGCAAAACGGTAGTTCTAGCAGGCCAAAGATCATACTCCTCACTAATCTCTGGTGCTTTTAATTACATGTTTTTCCTCAGTTGTCCACATAGCATTCTACAAACTGTTGTCACTCTTCCCACTGGCACACTGTTGGAATATGTTCTGAGGACATGTGGGAACCCCAGAGGAGAAGATGAGTATGTGGTGATAATCCCACATCCCCCCCCAAAAAAAATTATTGAGAGAACACCTGTCCTAAACCAATTAGCTAGATTAGACTTCCGTAGGAGTTGCAACTTCTGATCTGAGGTTAGATTTCTGTGCCACAAGATGCAACATCATGCCGTAAAGCATAACCTGATATTTACTGGCAATGACAGGAGTCAGCCTGACTCTGGATCAGCCACTAACAAGCCACATAACCTTGTACTTTGGTCACAGCCTCCTGCACATAATCCAGAAACATTAGTAAGGTGCTTTAGCTGAGCTGCCCTGAAGAAACACCGTTCATTTGAAACCTAGTGCTCCATTGGGCCAAAAATGGCATTAATCATATAGCCATCAGCAGCCCCTCAAAATGGGAGCAACTTGAGCTGGGAGAATTGAAGGAGATCCTTAAATTATAGTAAAGCTAAATTGAACAAAGAAGCCGGATGTCCATACAAACTTGTATAGATGTAGCTCTTATAAAAGCATTTGATGCTAACACAAGACCTGAATCCTAAACTCAAATTGAAATCAATATTGGAATGGAAAGGCCAGTTTACCATAATGATATGCCAGGTGAATCAGAATCCTAATTGCCAACATTTATGCACTGAAAAAAAATAGCATATTTGATTAGTATTTTCGGTGCCGACGAGATCCATTGTAAGGAACAAAGAGCCTGTGGCCCTTACCTTGGCTAGATTCTGCCTAATCCACTTGTGCAGTTTCTCTTCCCAAGGCCAGGAAAACTTGCACACAAGCCCCTCTCTGGTTTAAGGAAAAGAACAAGGCTATCATTATAACATCAGGAGAGGCTGAAATTAGAAACAATTTAGGATAGGAGCTGCCCATAGGAAACGCTAGATTGAAGAATAGATTTCTATCTGCTGCAGTCTGGGCAAGTATTACTCTGTGACATAGTATCTTACCCCTTTTCCTATCCCTGGTATAGAAGGAACAGTTCTGACAAATCCCTTGCCTTTTTTATATTTCCCTGCAGCATCTGCAAGTGGTTCAGTAGGAAACAGCGCGATTCCAGAGAAGGAGCGGCAGAACATTGCTGAGAGGTTGCTGCGGGTGATGTGCACCGATCTGGGAGCTCTGAGTGTGGTGAGCGGGAAGGAATTCATCAAGTTGGCACAGACCCTGGTGGATAGTGGCGCTCGCTATGGTGCCTTTTCTGTCACTGAAATCTTAGGTAACTTCAATACTTTGGCTCTGAAGCACTTGCCTCGGATGTACAACCAAGTGAAAGTGAAAGTGACCTGTGCCCTGGGCAGCAATGCCTGCCTGGGCATAGGGGTCACGTGCCACTCTCAAAGCGTTGGCCCAGATTCCTGCTACATTTTGACAGCTTACCAGGCAGAAGGCAACCACATCAAGAGTTATGTCCTAGGAATTAAGGGTGTGGACATCCGAGAAAATGGTGATTTTATCCACCACTGGGTGCAGAACGTTCTCTCAGAGTTTGTGATGTCAGAAATCAGGACAGTGTATGTCACAGACTGCAAGGTCAACTCATCTGCTTTCTCCAAGGCAGGCATGTGCTTGCGTTGCTCAGCCTGTGCCTTGAACTCAGTAGTGCAAAGTGTGCTGAATAAGCGAACACTACAAGCTCGCAATATGCATGAAGTCATCGAGCTCCTGAATGTCTGTGAAGATTTGGCAGGGTCCACAGGCCTCTCAAAGGAGACCTTTGGCTCTCTGGAGGAGACATCTCTCCCACCCTGCTGGAACTCAGTGACTGACTCCCTCCTGCTTGTCCATGAGCGCTACGAGCAGATATGCGAGTTCTACAGCAGGGCCAAGAAAATGAACCTCATCCAAAACCTGAACAAGCATCTGCTCAGCAACTTGGCAGCCATTTTAGCACCAGTGAAACAAGCAGTGATTGAGCTAAGCAATGAGAACCGGCCCACTTTGCAGCTAGTCCTGCCCACGTATGTTAAACTGGAGAAGCTATTCACTTCCAAAGCCAATGATGCTGGTGTAGTCAGCAAGCTCTGCCATCTCTTCCTGGAGGCACTGAAAGAGAACTTCAAAGTTCATTCTGCACACAAAGTAGCCATGATTTTGGACCCTCAGCAGAAGCTGCGGCCTGTCCCACCGTACCAGCATGAAGAGATCATTGGCAAAGTCTGTGAATTGATCAATGAAGTGAAAGAGTCCTGGGCAGAAGAAACAGAATTTGAACCTTCCACCAAGAAACCACGGGCAGCAGGCGAGGCCCCACCAGCTCAGGAAGAAGACCGGTTTGGGAAAAATGAAGTCTATGATTATTTGCAAGAACCCCTCTTCCAGGCCACTCCTGATCTGTTTCAGTACTGGTCATGTGTTACCCAAAAGCATACAAAACTAGCCAAGTTGGCCTTTTGGCTCTTAGCAGTGCCTGCTGTTGGTGCCAGAAGCGAATGTGTAAATATGTGCGAGCAGGCCCTCTTAATCAAAAGGAGGCGACTGCTCAGTCCAGAAGACATGAACAAACTCATGTTTTTGAAGTCCAACATGCTTTAAAACTATCTTTTAATTAAAAAACAAAACAAAACTTTAAAACACTGTTCCAAACAAAGAGAAAAAATTTAAGTTCTAAACACTGTGGACCTCATTATGAATGCCCCTGGAAACCAAGTGCTTTTTTATATATATATAAATATATATATAAAAATATAAATATATATAAAAACTAAGTTTGAGAGGAGAGCTGAGCACGTGTGAGAGACAGCCCTCTGCCAGGAACGTGCTCCTTTCCATAGATAGCGTGTGGACTTGACAGACTTTCTAATGTTTTCAAGCGGGCAGACCAATGGGAGGCTGACGTTCTAAAGTCTTCAGGCAGCTGAGATCTAAAGTGACTTGAAGTTTCTTTTATTTCTCCTCTACCCCACCCTTCCTCTTGTCCCCTGGGCCATCTTGCCATGGATAATCAAACTACGTTGAACAGACCAGTTCTGCACTGGACTTTGCTCCTATGAATAACTGTACACCTTGAGGGCATTCGTTTGCAACCTTCTTAACATACGTTGCACGTTATCAGGGCAGCTGTGTTTTACAAACACCAAGTTGTGTTAGAAGTCAGGATGGGAAACTTTAAGGAAATACATTATTTTAATCTTTTCATACATGAAGTCCCTTCCCCCCCAAAGAGTTACTTTTCAGTCACCACTCCCGTTTTTGAGTTAAACTTCTTAGCTAGTGATTTTACATTTGAGTTAGAACTGAGAGAAAGTAAGTATGGCAAAAAATGTCTGTGATTGTTATGTTTTATAGATTTTTTTTACACATTAACTTTTTTTTCTGAAGTCCCACTGTAAACCAGCTTATCTCACCTGTATGTCCTGCATAACAGGGGTTCTCAAATTCATTTACAGAGTGGCCCATTCACCACTAAATAGCATCCCTGTGGGAACTGCAACGATTGCTTATATGGAAAAGTAACTTTAGGGAAGTAATGTATTGTTTAGCTACTTTTAATACAGTTAAATGGTGAGAGAAAAAGGAGAAGCCAGCACCTCTTGACCAGGCCACCACCGAGTGATCCACCAGTGGTCCACCAGCTACCGTTGGAGAAGTTCTGCTATCTAAAATTCCTGTAAGCCTTCCCTGTGTGCAGATTCAAAATAATCTTTCACGTGATCGAGGACAAACCAAGGTGTATGATTTTTCAGGGGAACAAAGATCATCAGTTTTATAACTCTAGCGTTTGAAGGAAGAGAAGCATTGTGGGTTCAAAGATCCTTCTGAATGTAAGTGCTCCCACTCGAATACAAACTACACCTTTTCCTTTCCTTTTGTTTTGGGGAATGGTTTTCTCTGGTAGCATGAATGTCTTTTTAATACCTATAGTGCATTACACTATGTGTTACATTGCTGAATCATTCTGGCTAGGAAGGCCCTGTAACCTTAAAACTTCACATTCACTAGCTCTTCAGACTTGCAGTCCCTCCCCATCTATACTATCATAGAAGCCCAAGGACAAGGACCATGAGCCATTCCACTGTCAGCCAAGGCCAGCATCAAAAGGGTCTAGTGCCTGCTCGCATGGTTCAAGCACATTGTTGCACCTAACCTATTTGGGATGACAGATCAGGTCCATCTTGGATTAATCCAGATTTTTGGTGCCAAATTTAGTTCTCTGCAGGGTTTTAAGATTCCAAAAGTGCAAAACTAAATGAATTCCTTCCTTAAAGTAGCATCTTTCACTGCAAGAAGTTCATAACTGCATTCCCTGGCGACAGTTAACCAGCCTTAGGGATTTACATACCCCAAATAAAGACTGTGCAGCAAATTAGTTAGCAACGCTATCTTTTCTGGACAAGAAGGTTTTGGGTTGACATCCCTGAGCAGCCGTTTGGTGTACACTGACAGTGCAGTACTTAGGGACAAAGGCTGTTGCCCCCCTTAGAGAGGCCATCTTTTGAATAGGTATTAAAGCAAGATCCTTTCTACCAGTCTCAGTGCAGCAAAAATTCAAGGTCTCAAAACGTGTTACAGAGTTGAAAAATAAGCCCTAGGACCTTTACCACTAAGTCCTTTTCAGTAATGGCATATGCTTATACCCTGTGTGAATACTTATGGGTTGCTATGCTTGCTTGCAGTCTTTGCATTCTTAGTATCACTGCACATTGTAAGGTACTTTGATTATGAAAGGTACTGAATGCTCCCCCTGGGCATACTGATCAGAGATGGGAGAGTTCACAAACTAATGACCCTTCCTATTATCAGGCACCCTGAAGGACAGCCCTTTGTTTACTGGCGTCTTCTTAGGCTGTCCCTTCAGGCTGGGGAAGCATTACGCCTTGTGCAGAACAAGCGAGTTGAAAATTGTGTTGGTTGCCACCGCTGATGTTGGGGTGAAAACCAGTGGTTTCCTAAAGGCAGCTGTGAGTATTGGCAGGGATTATTGCAGTCTCCTGCAGGAATAATATTTAAATGAGATCCCTCAAAGGCAAGAGACATCTGGAAATGTGCTTTCTCCTGCATTGGACTATGCAGGTGGAGATTTCTTCGTTCTTTTTCTTCCTCTTCAACAAAAAGTTTTTGCTGTTTTATCTCCCAGAGGAACTCTACCTGCCCAGCCATTTTAAGCAGCCCTTCAGTAACAAATCTGTTTGCACATGCAATGCAAGAGAAAAATGTAAAAATTTCAGACTACCAAGAAAAATGAAAAGGGACAGCAAGGGAAATTCTGATGAGAAAGAATTGGAAATCCTTTGTAGCCACAGAGAGAGAATGGGGAAGCCTTTGCCTAAGAGAGAACCCAAAGTTGCACCTGCCAGACTGTGCTGGGCACCTTGGTACTCAAACCTTGGAACAGGGTTTTAGTTCACTTTCTAGTAATATCACTATTTTACAATTTAGATCAGGCTCCTTTTAGCCTGGGATTATCAGAGGAGCTGAAGAGAGCTGGACTCTCAACTGCCAGTGAAATTCAAGTTCAGTTCAATGGGGGATGTGACTATCCAGCTCCCTTACATTCTTTGGGAAATCCCAGCATTAATCAGGACTGCATTTGGTAATGGACAGGGTTGGCAATTTTGGGGGGGGCTGGAGAGATTTGTCATCTCAGCTTAAACACAGAGTGGGGCATTTCCCATACAGTAAAAGCTGTGTTATCCAGGACTGTGTTATCTGGAATGCTCTATTAACTGGTATGCCGATCAACACAGCAAAAGTGAAACCGGAAGTCCGATTGTGGCTCTTCCGGTTTCGCCGAGTCCCAATTTTCCGACTTTGGACCATGGCCTGAGGCAAAGCAGCCTGCATGGGGGCCCCCCCTCACTGTCCCCAAGCACACTGATGCCAGGGAGTGAAATATCTGGTGCACCGGACGCAGCAGGAGGGGCAGTGGCCTGAACAGGCAAAGACACTTCTCAGATAACCGGCATATTTGATTAACCAGCACTCCCCATTCCCCATGGGTGCCGGATAACACAGCTTTTACATGCATATAAAAGGCACTGTGTGTGGGGAGTTAAACAAAGGAGACTTAGTATAGACTTAGAGCACTGAAATAGTGAAAGAGACAGAACAGCAATAGTTTTGGCATCTACTTAATCCGTGGAATAGTAGTAAAAATGGTTTGAGAGCTTTTGTGGTGCAAAGGAAAGGGCCAGAATCAACGTCTCACCCCCTTGTCTAAATGAAATTATCAAGGCATCTTTGGCTAGTCACACTAATGATGAACTATAAACCAAAGCATGCATGCAGTGATGTCTATTAGGAGGGACCCCTCCAAATATTTATAAACTCAACCTGGCATCTAGGTTAAAACAGCAAACTGGTGAGATAACTTGCAACTACCTATTCCTCTCCCTACCTAGGGAATGGCAGAATCTGCAGCTTTTATTAATAGTAATAACAATAAATAATAATAAACATATTAAGGTTACCAAGTGTTCTGTCTGCAAGTACTCAGTGCTCTGCACAACTCATAGGATGATATTAGTGGCTGATAAGATGCCTCACTACTGAGCCTACCCATGTCTTGTCAGTTTTAAGGAAAGAATTGGGTCAGTGGTGCACAGATTTGCTTTATGTGCAAAAATGATATAATGATGCTTTTCTTTCTCCCACCACTTGGTTACGCAGACCGTGGCATATTCCCCAGACTGCAGATAATTTACAGAGGTCTTGATTTCAGGAAATTTTATTGATTTGCTGCATTTTCTGTTTGCTTGCTGCTGTTTACTTAGTTTGGTGAAGATGAAGTGCTATACATAGAATTACACTGTCACAGCAACAGGTGCTGTCTGGGGCCTTAGTAGGCAGGTGTAGGGAAAGAAGGAGATGTGGCCTCCTAATAATGGTGTGAACAGCAATGCAGGTTACATCCCATTTGAACTGGAAGGAAGGTGCTTGAGGAGCTCATTCATCTAGCTTGTGTGATGGAACAGTTTGCATCTGCAGTGTTTGCATTGGGAACCTGCCTCCTTCTTCATTTGTTCCCTTCTTTATTATTTAGAAATGCATTTGTGCATGAAAACTGAATTGCTGTTCTGTAGAAATTAATGTCCCTGCTGCTTTTTCTGCAAGCGACATCATAGGTGCCTGTTTGTGCCTTCACAATTTGTTTCAGAAATGATTATGATGTCACAACATTTTCTGAGAAGCAAGCACCAGCACAAGATGAACTATAACGGAACAAAGCTCCTTGTGTCATGTCCAAATATCCTTATTAGCAAAGACCAAGAGAACTAAGAAAATACAATATAAAGGCACAGTTTTATAAACAAAAAAATGTTTAGATGACTTGTGTTTCCATAAAACACAGCAGCTGGAGCATACCATTATCTGTTTCTACTCTCCATTTCTCCAGCAATAGGACACAGTTGTCATTTGACAGTGCTCCACTCGCTGCTCTTATCTCCTAGAGAGTTAGTAACAGTGACTGTGATGCAACTGTTATCTCTCAGACCAGAGTGAAGGATGCTGTCGAAGCCTGAATTGTAGTAGAAAACTTGCATTAGTTTAAATAGAATTGAAATCAGTCTAGTGAAATTGCTGCCTTTGTAGCTCTACTGAAACCAGTTTAATCCTTGTTTGCAATGGTTTGCTTGTATCTAAATTATTGACTTATTTTGATTTAAATACGAGTTAAACCAAGTTAAGCCTCTACATTAGTGTTTGCACCAGTTTAACTAGATCAATTTAGTTAATGATGTTATGATATATTTTTAATAGAAAAGGGAGAAAAATTTCAGAAGCAACTCGGTGTGTTAGGGCCCTAAGTGCCTTTTGAAAATAGAGCTTAGATACTTCTCAAAATTTACCCAAGGCTTAAATTGCTGTTTCTGAGTATCACTGAGGAGTTTTCGGGCCTGGATACATGACACATTTACATCAATGTAATTTACATTGACTTTGTACAGCAATGTAAAATACACCAGGACTGAAGTAGACAGTTGAGCAACAGTCCTTGAAGACCTGCATGTAATAGGCTGTGATTACTACTACAACCTACTCCTAGGTGGAAAGGAAGCAGGTAATAGTATGTTTTCCTTAAGGAAATGGCTTTCCCAGGGTAAACTATGGGCACACAACACAAAGACTAATGTAATTTACACCAGTGCAGTTTACCTCTGATGTTTTCTAGGATAATTCTGTATCAGATTCAAATAAGTAGCATTTGATGTTGTGTGTCCATGTCCTTGGTGTTCCATAAGATGACTCCCAGCTTGGGGGCTCTAACCCATAATAGTAGATTGGAGGATTTTCTGTTCAAAGAAATGTTTTCAAATACCTTTCTTGGAAGAGGCACCCCTACAGTCAGATTGGCATGGACTGTAGAGGTTTTGCCTTTCTTTGTACTAAGGAGCACAGAGCATGGTCCTCTTCCTTGGATCTCTCACGTGTATTTTAACAAACCAGTCCACATCCTTGCAGCCGCAGGATATTGACAGTGGCCTCATCCCCCTTCCATGCATGTGGCAAGTTACGGTTTAAGGATGTTTACAGGCACTGTGCCTGGTAGTTATGTGAGAGGGTTGTTCATACAGTCTTCTTTGGAAGATGCTAGCTGAACACCTGTGTAGAATGGCTTAGATGGGGATGATGCCACGCTGAGCAAGGGGTTGGACTAGGTGACTTCCTGAGGTACCTTTTAACCCTACCTTTGTATGGTGCTATGACAACACACTATAACACTCCTTGGGTTGCCACTAAGTTATCAACAAATTAGAAGGAAATCAAAGTAGCCCAAAAAATATTCAGTGCTAGATGGGTGAACATGTACTGAGGAAGGAATCATATCTGTCTAGTTTGATGGCCAAGGCAGGAAGAAAAGTCCTGTCATATTTGAGAGGAGCAAACACCCAAAAGGTGGAGGAATAGTTAAAGTGGTCTGTATGGAACAATTAGGACTCAAGCAACAAAAGGGAATGACAGAGAATTAAGCTGGATATCAGGAAGATCTTCCTACTGAAGAGAGGCCTCTTCAGTTGAGGAACAGTCACTCAAGGTATCATTTAAAACCAGACTGAAGGGAGCAATTGAGTGCATTGTTAGGTACATTACCGTCCCAGCCCTTGCTGATGTATAAGATAGTCAAATAGGCTTTCTCTACTGCAGTTATAATTTATATTAGAGGCTTTGGGATGTGTGTGAACTGGCCAGTAGGAAGAGGTGGCAACTGTTCTGGGAGCAACAAATGGGTACTTCTTAACTCTTAAAAGTAATAAGCCAAGAGAGAGCAAGAGCATGCTATACTGAATCTTTAGCCACTTCTGTTATGCGCTGCCTGTATTACACGGTGGTTTGAGTCCTTGGTGCATCAGTGGAGCTACATAAGGGTTCACAGAAGCATGAAACCTAACGAGAGTCAGTAGGCAAAATTTTCAACAGAACTTTGGCTCCTACGTTTAATAGGTGCTTAAAAAATGTGTCCTGTAGCAAAAGTACCCTCTTATACAGTATGTGGGATATGTCTGTACATCAGGGGAAATCTTAAGCACCCAGCAAAAACTTCTTATTGATCAAAACAAAAAAATGCAGAGAGAAAACCAGGCACAGGTCCTATTTTGCCCCTTGGAACTGTGGGAATAGTTTGTTTATGCTAGGCCAGATATGGTAAACCAATGAGAGTGCCCTGAAATTTAATTTTATATATTGAATGTTTTCGGGGTTTCTGTTTAATTTTTTGTTTTGCTGGTTAGTTGGGTTTTTACTGCACCAATTAGAGTCCTTTGTTTTTATACCTTGGCTGACGAGTTTTGCTTACATTAGATGACCGTGTATCCAATAGCCTCTGTAGGGTTAATGATCTGTAGGCAGCTGAGTTTGAAATTTTTAGAGTACCTTCTGAAATGAGTCACATAAATGTCTAGTTTGTGCACAACATCAACCACTGACTGAAAGCATTTTTTTTCTTTCCATTGTTTTAGTGTCACTGACAGCAGAGTCAGCGTATGTCTTGGTACCCAGATGAGCAGCGTAGCCTTAACAATGGGACGATTTTACAATGGAAATGATGGGTAGAGGCATGTCAGACCCTTGCTTTTCACAACCAAAGTTCCTTAAAGAGACTTCCAGCCTCATGAGCCTTGAGTGCTTGTTTCCAGTCTTCTGGGGATTCTTGTGGTGGTCTCTGAAATGTGTGTGGTTAGGGTGTTTATTTTTTTTTCCTTGTTGATGAAGTTATCCATGGATAAGAACCTTTCCGCTTTAGAAAGGAGATGTACTCTGGAAGGAGCAACAGTCCTAGGGCTGCTGTGTATTTTCTAGAGTCCGTTTAAATATGTTGGGACTTTTATTTAATTTTTTTTAAATATTTAAAAGGAAAACTGATAACGGACAAACCGAATATTCATGATAGGTGAATAGCCAAGGTCACAAATGCAGGAGGAATGCACGTCACCCAGACTGTGAGGATTCTGGTCTGCGCTGTAGCTAGAAAGTGTGTCATACTGACAAAACCATCAGGAAATCCTCGTTTGCAGCCAGTCTGAAAAGAAGCCGTTCCTCATTTTGTATGTTAATTTCTCAAAACCTCCTGTTGGGAGTTGAATTCTCTTGTTGTTTCATCAGGAAAATGATTAATGTTCTCCTTTTCTTCCCCAGTCCCTTTCCTCAGTAACTTGTGTGCATTTACCTTTCTTTCTGTAGATGCAGATGTTCTAGGCAATACCATAGATGCACCTGCGTGTGTCTCTCTACCTGCAAGTGCAAGAATCTCATGTCATCTTAAAAAAAATACAAAAAATATACAAAAAATTATACAAAAAATATCTTTTTTAGGCCAGAGTTTTCTACAGGTATTAATGAATATTTTTCTTAATCCTTATAAGTTTTATGTGTTTAATATTTCTTAATACCGGTAGCATTAATTTATACTTTTGTAGCAACACAATATTTTTATAAACCGCCACCGCTGGCTTTGTCTTCATAATGGGGAAATGTGCGGGCAGCTGGCCCTGCACTGTACCATGTACTGTATTTAAAAGGTTATCTAATGTCACACTTGCTGTGTTAATAAACAAACAAAACCTGTTTGGAGTCTCATGTATTGTTGGTGTGGATCGAATGACTCAATAGAGAGCAATATTGCACGGGGTTGAGTTGCTGATTTTCATTGATATATATGAATGCTTGAGGCCAACTCAAGTTCTTCTGAGTTTTTCTTTTTAGGATTTTTCCTTTTTGTTTTTGTTTTTACAGCTCAATAAATTCAGTGCTGTTTGAAACTTAGACTGACGTCAAATGAAAAGGATTATAAAAAAATCGAAGTGTTTAAATGTTGCTGTTTTTACAAGTCTGTTGCTGTCTGAATGGAAATATTCCGTGTTAGAAAAGGAATAATTCCACTTAAGTTCCAAACTAGCTAAGAGCTCCAGGCCAGAGTTCAGTTATTTGGAGGAGGTATCTTAGAGACATGTTTCTGCAACATTCTTTTCAGAGTTGATGCCAAGGCAGAAGACAAACTGTAACTGTAAGAAAGCATCCGTTGCTTGAGGATTTTCATGTCAGTGTTGTATTTATGGTTTTACAATAAAACAACCTTTAGGAAAAAAAAAATGAGCATGCGGGTGTTTCTTTTTTTCAAGTATGTTTCTGGGATCATGCTTGATGCCCTTTGCTGGTTTAGATCTAGAAGTGTTTGTTTAAGTATCTTGACACCCGAGAGTCACAAGGTAGCAGTACATCTTTAGTGGAAAGTCTCGCCTGTAAAAGTCTTATTTACCAAAAAAATTCTGTTTAAATCCAACAGATGTTCTAGGTACAAGTAATTCAAGAAATTAACTGGAACAAACACTTTAAAGGGATTTACCTGAATTTATCACCAAGGCTTAATAAATCAATCCCCATTTTGCGAAGAGCGCCCTCAAAATAGCTGGGCACAGCCAGGAAGTCCAGACCAAAGATGCAAAAAGATGAACTCATTTTCTGTATGGTTTTTAAATTAGAAAATAAAGAAGTGTCAAAGAATATGCATGGAGGTAAGGGAATGAAGATGGTAGATGTACTAGCATTGTTCAAACCAAACTGAACAGGAGATGTTAGGCACCAGGTTTAGATTTGCCTACCAAGATGGTAAAGGAGCTCCAAGGGGCTGTGGCAGCTATTGGGTCAATCTGCATGAATGGGACCCTGCATTGACAGTGGTCCCTGATTCTTTGCAGACAGCGCATTGCCTGCAAGACCTTCTAGTGTTACTAATAGCTATTTTCAAAACCTGTATTCCTTCAAGAGTAGAGTTGGCCTGGATATCATTATTCCACACTGCTAAAGACTGTCAACCACATACCTTTTCATGGGCCAACGTGGAGAGAAAAATCCAGATCAGGTCAAGTGAAACATGTCTTTTGGATGACTTGTAATATCTGGGTTTGGTTTTGCCCTTTCTTGTTTACCATTTCTAGTTTAACAGATTTCAGAACAGAAAATGTCTGGAATAGAAGAAAAATTAAACTTTTTAGTTTGGAAATGTCAGACTAGGCCATTTTAGTGCTCAGCAGCACTTTGTTAGCAACAACAGCAGGACAGCTTTAGAGTCGCCAGCAAGTGAGTATGTACCACCCTCGGGATAGTTTGTAGTACTTATGGCCATTGCAACAGAAAAGTGGCAAATGTGTCATTGCTTCTGGAAGAATCTCAAGACTCTTCCAGGGCTCTGGCTAGCTGTGGGAAAAGATGTTTGGATCCATGGGGTGTTACATAGGCTCATTTTACATGACATGTATGCCAAGATTAACATGTTAATTATAACATAAATGATAAGGGTGCTACATGTGTATTTATTTTAAGGCACCATAAAATAGCAAATCAGCCATAAACATATACTACACCAAGCATAGATTATAGTGTAGAACATTTTTATGCCAGGTTTGTATAGGACCGTAAATGGAACGTGGCAGGTCTGAGGCCAGGGCTGACAATCTGCTGACCTGGACCTGCAGGTACTCAGCTTTCAACTTGCTGGTGCAGGGGGAGCCATGGCGATGATCCTGGGCTCCCCCTGCGCTGGCAAATAGAAAGGGCGTGACTGACATCTGATCCCCAATCCCAAAATTGGGGAAAGGCTTTAGTGAAGTTTATAGAGGCAGGAATGGGTTTTCAGTCCATTGCCTCCTTCCTTCCTTTCCAGTCATTCCATAATACTGTCCATCTTTTAATGAATTGCCGCGGGACAAGAAAAGATTATAGTAAACCACGCAGAAAGTTATTTACTTCCCTGCAAGGAAACCGGGTATAAAGTTCAGCTAAGTACCATGATAAAGAAGTTCTGCAGGTTCTTCCCACAAAACTGTGGAGAATGACAGGTCACAAACACTTAGGAGATTTAAAAAGACTTTAATACAAAAATATTGGTTAGAAAAAGACTGATTCTAAAGGCAAGGATCAAACAACTCCAAGTCACATCATATTGCACCACTGTGGTGTTCTTGCCATTAGAAATTAAACCGATGCCCACCATGGATCTGCATTAGCCTGCTCCTGGCTCCACTGTATTGTTGATTCTTCCAAGAAATATTTAAATGTAGTGCCCTCACTACTGACACTCATTACCATTAACACAAGATCAATAACACAAGGTAGTTGAAGAGGTCCAACTTGGATGCTCACTCTATAGTCCTGCTTTATGTAGTACATAGGGCAATTCTGCGGCCAAAGGTCTTTCCCCTTCACTTCTGTCTTCAGGCAGTGAAAAAAATGCAATCCCTTATTGTCTACTGCAGTCTGAAGTTAACAGACTAGTTTAAGCAGTTCACACTGTAACTAAACTAATATATTAAGAGGCTAGAGAAAAACGGGTGAGTCAAGAGGTCTCTCCAGGTTAACATTGTTCTGAAGGCCTGCACAAAAGCAGAGGTCTCCATGAAGTACAGAATTCACACAATATAAAAGACATGTTTTACAGAATATTTTGTAGGAATGCATTCCTTTGGCACCAGCACGCACAGTATCAACAACAACCCATTAGCTCAAATGGCTCCCAACAGATCCACACTGGGTACATCTGTTTTTCATAGCCATTAGCACAGACTGACTGAAAGATCTTGACTGAACACCTCAAGATCTCAGATCAGGCTATCTGTGGATTTAAATGGACAACCAAATGGGTTTCCATAAGGTGTGAACCAGGGCAGAATCCAGCTCTTTTATCTATATGCCACAGAGAGACAAAATTAAATGGAAAGTAGAGCAATTTTCTAGCCAGATGAGCAGAGATCAATGTTCATCCACTACAAAACATGAGGGCACCAATGTTGGCAGTCTGCTGTTCAGCTGATATTAAACATGATCTTATTCACTAGTTACTAGAGGTTTTTTCCCCCAAGAGGGTTGGTTTTATATGATCAAAGGGATGATTTCTTGCCCCCTCTTCACAAATTGCTATTTCATGAAGTATTTCTTCATAGAAAGTTATCCAGGAGCTAACAACCCACTGGTAAATTAAGGGTGGGTATGTCTATATTACAATGGGAGCTGATTGCAGTTGCGACACAATAGCAAAGCAGCTCTGGCAGCACAGGATTATGTGGACTGCACAAGCTTGCCCTAGACTTTGGGTCTGTACTTGGTGGCTGGAGCCTGCTCTTGTGACTACACAGATAACGGGGCATGAGCTAACAAGATTGCAGCTAGACTCAGTAGGTTGACATATGCTGCAATCACTCCACATTGCAGTATAGACACAACCTCCTCTAAAAAGCCATTAGGTAACACAAATAATCCTCACCAATTTTTCGCTCTTGCTCATTTCTATGTTTAGTAGCAAGAGCCCAGAGCATCTGCTCTCTACAGTGCCCCCAAAGGTGCCTTGCCCATTGTGATTTTCTAGGTTTGACACAGTGATTTGCTATGGGAAGACAGATGTCAAGGGATGACTTTGATAAATGATGAGACATGGAAGTACTAAAGAGCAGGTCAGAATCAAGAAAGCAGGCCTGAAGGGGACCTCATGAAGTCAGACCCCTGCTTAAGGCAGGATCATCTCTAACTGAATCATCCCACTCAAGTTTTTATGTAAATTTCCCTGATTAACAGAAGCGATGAGATATAGAAGATACCAGGGCAAGTATTGCATCTCACACATGACTGACAAGCCTGGATTTGGTCAGCTGTACATGGAAGATGTATATGACTACCAACAAGTATCAGACTAGAAAGATCCAGGTCACACTTATATTGAAAATAGAGACAGTGGGTGCATCTACACAAGCCACCCACAGCACAGTTGTTATTGCAATCATTTAGCACTTGCATAACCCAGTATGAAATGACTGTGTGCCCCTTACAGTTGCCTAGTAGCTCATTACTACTGCACGGTAGTGTCACATCATGGTTCATGCCCGGTGATGCTACTGCACAGTAGTAATGAGCTACTGTGCAGCAAGTACCTCGCATAGACATGGCCAGTGAGTCTTAACTTGATTGAGCTCCACTGGCACTCAGAGACTGGAGAGGAAAGCAGTCCTTTAAATGTCTTCTACCACTTCTGTCCAGGGGATAGCTTTCTTTACCAGTCCAGTCCATCCTTCTGGAACATGAATCTCTTGCTTTTCTCGCTGTAAAACTGAGCATACCAGCGCCTGTACCTCTGAATTGCAGAATCCTCTTTTACCAGTAGAGGTTTAGAGAGATATTGCTTGTTATTCCAGATTGCTACATCACGCTCAAACTGTGGGAAAAGAAGCAGACTCATCTTAGAAAAGGAATTTAAACTAAATGTCCATGCATACTACTGCACAGACCAGCAAAGCTCATGTCTTGAGAGAAGACACTGGTTCCAAAGAGGTTTTTAGCAAATCTCCAAGCCTGGGCAGTTTTTGCGTGGCTATTAGCTTACAAAACATCCAAACAATGGCTCTGTGGGCATATCTACTCCATGGTGGTGGCCGTGGGTCCCAGGCATGCCCCATCCACCCAGCCCTGTATGCACTCAACCAGGTTAGCACACTGGTGTGGTGGCTCCAGGGTTGTCCCAGCAGCCACTTAAGTATGTTAGAGACTGAGAGCTTGAGAACAGCTGCAGAGAGATGCCCCTGAGTGGTAGTGCCAGTGGACACGTCCCTGCCAGAGCAGGTTCATATGGCATGCTGAGCAGGAGCTTGGGTGGGGGTAGAAGACCTGCCCTGTGTTCTGCCACAGCTGGGGACAACTGCAGGGAGTCTGAGAGAGAATTTCATCCCCATTCACTTCATTAAGTCTCCCTTCAGCGAGGGAGGTACTTGCTCACCCAGGCTCTCTGAGGATTCCTACCACCTCAAGGCCCTTTCCCCATCGTAATATTTAATGGGAAAACGTGATTGTTTTGACCCTCTCTCTTACACTCCAGGTGCTGTGGAATTGAATTCTTGAGTATAATTGAGTGGAAAGGAACTAATCTTGTGTATTGACAGCCCATTCGCATGCAACATGCCATCTGCTACAGACACCCTATGAAGTTAACAAGTTCAACCTCTGGCAGCCCCAAGCAAGAAAAAGTTTCCAAAGCAAATGATAAACCATCCTCATAGAACAGAGCAGGCTCTTTAAAATAGTCAAAGGTCTGCCTGAGCTGCGATGTGCATCAGAGTAGCATGCTGGAAACGCAGCAAGAGGGCTGCTGGCTAGCACATCACTAGCAGGTACAATCACAGCTGCACAGGCAAATCTACAAGGATGTTGCCAAAAGTAACAGCAATTTTGAAATAAACCCTTTTGTGCACAATAATTATTTACTGGACCACACTGCTTTGATAAACTATGGGTGTGTTCAACAGTGCCACCAGCCATGTTTCTAGCTGCTATGTGGTTTCCCACTCAAAATGGGAAACTACCTGGCACACAAAATGTTTTTATTTTGAGATTGCCCTTACTTGCTGAAACACCCTTGTGTTTTGCCAGAGGACAGGGCAGAATCCAAAACTGTTTATAGGTGTGAAAAGGGCACTTGTGCAGGTGGGTACGTCCCATTTTGCCACGGACAAGAAATGCAGCAACAAGCACCTTTTCCTACAAAAGCTCTGCTGCCCAGCAGCTTCAAGCATTCAGCCTTCTAGCAACGTTTACAGGGCTGACTGCACACCTGCAGCCATGGAAACCTGGCAGCAGTGAACAGAGAGCTCCTGCAGACGCTGCCAGCACTGTCAGCAGCAGGAGGAGTGACTAGCAGCAACCAGGGTTTGGCAACTACCTGCAGCCACCGCCAGCGGCCAGGGGCAATCATGGACCTCCCACAGACACCACCTGCAGTGCCGGCAGTGGGATAGCAAGTGGCGACTGCCCGCAGGCAAGGCTGACATTGGGCACCTTTTTGCTGGGGGTGCACCACCTACATGCACCCCCTATGCGCCATCCCTGCCTGCAGCAGCACAAAATAGGTGGGGTCCTTGTACCCTACATTCAGAAACTGGTCATACCTGTCATATCCAGTGCTCATACTCAGTTTGCCCTCCCTTTCAGCATCTACTCTGCCACTGTGTGACACAGGATATGGGGCAAGATGGATCTATGGTCTGACCCAGTGAAGCTAGGGACAGAAATTACACATAAACCGATGCAAGTGATCAGAAACCGGTTCAAATCTGTAACACGACGGAAATTTAGTGCAAATAAACTGCTTTCAAAATAGCTGAAACCAGTTTAAAGGTAAACCTGGATGGATGTAGTATCAGACTTGGCTGATTTAGGTTAAATTGGTTTATTGAACTTCTGCCCAAGATCCCCTCCAGATTCAAGTTAATTCACAGTCCCCCAGCATCCCAGGATGCTTTGCACTTCCCCTGCAAACTCTCCCTTGCAGGGTGGGTGGGCTAGCTGTGGCCCAAGCAGTCTGCTCCAGCAGAACAAAGAGGTGTGCTCTAGTGACCCCCAGCTTCTTGCCTGAGCCAGTGCAGGCATGTGGCTACATTTCCGGAATCAAAGGTGAATGTCAGTTCACTTGCTTATTGGTTCAGTCTATGCAGCTCAAACTAACCTGCAATGATTGAATCGATTCAGCCTCGGGCTTTTTGACTCTGTACTTAGCCTAAATGGCAGTTCTTATGTTCTTATACTGAGACCTGAGTCCCAGTATAAGAACATAAGAACTGCCATTTAGACCATTTACAAAAACAGGTTACAGATAACAAAGCAGTAAAGGCCTCTGCAGTTCTGACAAAACTCTTTTAGAAGCAGCTCGTTCTGGCTCAGTAAAGCACTTACCTGTATGCACTCTGCTCTCAAAATGAATTTTGGGATTATTCCTGGCATGCTTTTCTGATAATAGATTTCATGGGTAACTTGCTGCAGGAGAGGCTCAACGGGTGTCACAGTATGCAGAATGATCCCATGGCCCAGTAATTCATGGTCAAAGATCAGAAAGACCAACCCAGGCCCCACCTTCAAACAAAGAAAAGGAACTTATCAGGGAATTTAGCTCTTTCTAGTTCTAGTTCCCTGCATTTGCAACTATTTGTCCAAAAGAACATCAGCGGTGACCATTCTTATACATCACAGTACAAAGCTCCCTATAAAGAAAACCTTACAGTGTAGAATAAGTAAGAAGCAGGGAAGAGAAGTTGCCACCAATTCCTTGCCACTGCAATGGCTGGGACTTCAGTAAAGTAAAATATGCCCATATGATTCCTGAAAGACATAATGACTAGGGGTGTGCGAAGAGGGCCCTATTTGATTCAGATCACTGTCCATGATTCAATTCATCTGAAGAGTCAATGCTGATTCAGAGAATCAGCAGTTTGGACATAGACACAGCCTTAAAAGTTTTTTCTGCATACCTTGAGGTAGCAGGCACGAGGCCTCTACAAGTAGGCAGCTATTCAATCCAGCTTTGGATCCAGCCACTTCAGATGCCAGCAATCCAGTCTGGAGCTCCGGACCGGGTTTCTGCTTTGATCTGGCCAAAGCAGCTCCAAAGCTTCAGAGCCGCCTTTGATATCTGGCCATAGGGTATAATGGGGAATCAATGAAATATCTATAACTTTGTTGGTTTTTGTCTGAATTGGATTAAACTTGCAGGGGTGGTAGCATGAGAGCATGAAGCCTGTCAAGTTTCAAGAAGATCGGTGCAGGGGTTCAAGGGGAACTGCACCCCAAATTCATGTATGTGTTACACCACAGGGGGTCAAACCTGCAGGGGTGGTGGCCCCTGGTGAGGCCACAAAGCCTGCCAAGTTTCAAGGTGATAGGTGCAGGAGTTTGAAGGGAACTGCACCTCAAGCCACGGACAGGCAAAACTCATGACATAAATGACCCTGTGTGTGTTAAGACGCAGCAGGGTGAAAGCTGCAGGGATAGTAGACCCTGCTGCAGCCACGAAGCCTGCCAGCTGTCGAAGAGATTGGTGCAGGGGGCTTCTGGGTTCTGGGGCCCTGTACCTCTACCTGCTAACAGGCAAAACTCATGTCATGGGTGCTTGTGCAACTGTGTCTGTCTTGGGGTGGGGGGGAACTACTGCAGGCCTGGTTGCTAAGCTACTGTGTTACCAGTTAGCAATCAATCATGATTCACTCAGGGACCAGCTCAATACACAGTAGCTAGCTAATGTAGCCAGTTAATTAGCAACAATTAACACCTACAAAACCACAAACTAAGGAGAGGAAAGAATCAATATAGACAATCAATTGCCCCAAGACAGTCAGTTGCACAAGCACCCATGTCATGAGTTTTGCCTATCAGCAGCTAGGGGTGCAGGGCCCCAGAACCCTTGACAGCTGGCAGGCATCATGGCCACAGCAGGGGCCACCACCCCTGCAGCTTTCACCCTGCTGTGCATTAACACACACACTGTCGCCCATGTCATAAGTTTTGCTTGTCTGCAGCTTGAGGTGCAGTTACCCCTACACCCCTGCACTGATCTTCTTTAAACTTGTCAGGCTTTGTCTTCTCACCAGTGGCTACCACCCCTGCAGTTTTCACCCCCTTGTGGTGTAACACATACACATGACATGAGTTTTGCTTTCAAGAATTTGGGGTGCAGTTTCCCCTGAACCCCTGCACCGAGCTTCTTGAAACTTGGTAGGCTTTATGCTCTCAGCAGAGGCTACCATCCCTTCAAGTGTCATCCAAACCAGACAGAAAACAACAACGTTACAGATATTTGATTGACTCCCCACTATACCCTATGGCCGGATCTCCAAGGTGGCTCCAAATCTTTTCCGAAGCTATTCGAAAGCTCCGAATCAATTTGGAAAGCCTAAAGCTTCCAGTGATTCGATTAGGATTCATAGATTCGGCCTCCAAATCATCCAAATCATCTCCGAATCCGAATCATGATCTGGAGCTATGCACAACCCTAGCAGGCATGGCTCATGATCACTGAAATTCTGGGGCCCATGGAGCATCCAAAAGGAGTGGGGGTGGGGCTCTCCATGTGCTCGGCACTGAACCTGGAAGTACTTCCAGTCCACTTCCGGGTCTGCCAGGGAGCGCGCTGGGGGGGCCCCTCCCTGTGCCTCCCTGGCTTGGTGATCAGCCACAGGGGGGACCCTGGGTGCCCCTCCACCCCAGACCCAGGAGCGACCAGTCACCGAGCCAAGGGGTCATGGGGGCATGCTGCCTCGCGGACCTGGAAGTGGATCGGAAGTGCTTCTGGTCCACTTCTGGGTCTGCTGCTGAGCACACTGGGGAGCTCCCCATACTTCTGTGGGACACTCCATGTGCCCCAGCATCGCAGCATTCACAAGCTGCCTGCTACCTTGAGGTAGGTAGAAAAAGCATTTAAATCTCTGAATTTGTCCGAATCTCTCTGAATTGATTCAGAGTTCCCATTAGCTTTGGAAAGATTAAAAGGTCCTCTGATTCAATTTGGATTCAGAGATTCGGCCACCGAATCAGGCCAAATCTCTGCCAAATCGAATCAGGGACTGAAGCTTCACACAGCCCTAATAGAGACTTTTTTCCAATCTTCTGAAATGCCCCAGTATTCCCAATTGCTTTCATGAAAAGAAACCTTTTGTTACTTTAAAGCTGTTTCTTTTACTTGCAACCTAGCAAGCAATTTACACCTTCAGACTTTGAAACAAGCATCCATTTCCACATGCCTCCTTATACTTTAGAAAGGCATGTATGAATAGTCTTTTTTAACAAATACAGAACCAAGGCACAGGGCAGTCACAGTTCTTAGCTAAGTTTCTAGCACATTTGGGAGAGCTGAAATTAAATTCCATTGTGCTCTTGAACCACTGCAATTTTCCATTTATCCAGGTACTTCTTTGTATTGCTTTGTGAAGTGTGTTACTCACCTGTTTAGCTGTAACATTGATATCCAGCAAGGAGAAGTGTTTTCCAAACACAGTCAAGGCATGTTTAATCAGCATCCGGGCACAGTGATTGTTTGGTTCTGGCTCTGGCTGCCATTCTGCCTAAAGGGTTTGAAAAGAAGTGACTGAGAGAACAAATGCAAAAGACAGCATGTGAGATAGGACTCATATAACAAGTGTGTTGCAGAGTAGATCACAGTGCAGTGGAGACAGAAGTTGGTCATATGTTCTCAAACAGACTATGTGCAGATGAATGCAAATGAAAGAGCAGGGCGTACCAACCTCAGCAAGAAAGCTTGTGTTGACCATAAGGGCATGTGGAGGAATAGGACAAGAAGGCAAACATTCTGGAAAGCCCTGAAGCAGACAGAAAACTTGAACTTCATTCAGAAGCCAATGCAGATTCTCTCAGCCAATAGGCTTGTTAGGCTGAACCTCTTACCTTCCAGGTGTGCTTCACAAAATCCCACAGCTTGGAGCGTACATATCTCAGGTCAGATCCATTCAAAATAGCCGATGCGTGGACAGCATCTAGATGAGCTAAGTCTGCTCCATTCTCAGGGATTTCCTGCAAGTAAGGAACAAGGGCTGTGAGAAGCTTTGGTCCCTGATTCGATTCAGTGGAGATTCGGCCCAATTCGGTGGCTGAATCTCCAAATCTGAATCAAATCAGAGGACCCTTTAATCTCTCTGAATCTGACTGGAACCCTCTGAATCAATTCAGAGAGATTCAGAAAGATTAGGAGATTCGGACATAGAGACAGCTTTAAATGTTTTTTCCACATACCTCTAGGTAGCAGGTGACTCGCAAATGCTGTGATGCTGGGGTACATGGAGTGTCCCACAGGAGTGCAGGGGGCCTCCCAGTGCGCTTAGCAGCAGACCTGGAAGGGGACCTGAAACACTTCTGGTCCACTTCCAAATCCACCGGGGAGCGCACAGAGGAGCTCCCCCCCGGGTACCCCAGCTTGGGAACTGGTTTCTCCTGGATCGGGGGTGGCACTTGGGATCTCCCTGTGGCCGATGTTTGAGCTGGGGATGCATGGGGGGCCCCCCAGTGGACCTGGAAGTTCACTTCTGGGTTCACCACTGACCATGTGGAGGGCCCCCCATGCTCCTGTGGGATACTCCATCCGCCCCCAGCATCGCAGTGATCATAAGCCCCACTGGTACCTTGAGGTATGTAGAAAAAACATTTAAAGCTATGTTTATGTCCAAATCACTGATTTTCCAAATCAGCATTGAATCTTCAGATTCGGCCAAATCAAAACAGGGACACTGTTCATGCTTTGTTAGTGACAACCTCTACCCCAAAGAGCCCTGGCAGATATTACATTTATGGTGTGAATAACATGCTAACTGTGACATATATTACAACATGCCACATGTTCAGTGAGTTTATGGCATGAAAAAATGGCAAATGAGCCACAAAAATGTTTCATGTATACTGAAACAACTTTGTATCTGGTTTGCATGGTGTCTTAAACTGAATATGTGGCACACAACAGAAGCTAGGGCCCAGGGCTACCCCAGGCAATTACAATGATCATCAGCACCAAGCACAAGGCAGCTCCATGGGCTGAGTAACGGCTGCCCCCTGCCTGCTTCCTGAGATGGGCTGGGAATTGCAATTGGGATAACGAATGTTATGCCCCATCCCAAAAATCATACATCCTACCAAGATGCATGATTTTTGGGGTAGGACATAAAATTGCACAGATCCCAATTGCATCATTATATTAATGGATTCCAGGGGCCAAAGACTTACAGTCTAGAAACAAGACCTAGGTAAATAAGACAAATGAGAGAATACAGGATGGAAGTCTCTGAGCGTGGCTTAGTTGTGTGTCTAGATCTTAGCTAATCAGCAGCAATAATCATAGTGATTCCCAGAAAGCCTACCTGAAGGTGGAATTAAGGTGACTGACCTACTAGTCACTGGGCTAAACTACAGAGATATTGCAATTATCTTAAACCATTATTAATTCTCTGGTTATCCAATGACTGTCTAATGTAAAATGTATGGTGTTCTAGTCCCAAGGCTGTTATGTCAAAGATGGGCTCTGGCCATGTTTCTGAGAGAAATAGGGACTGTTACCTGTTGTACTGAACTCAAAATTGCTGCAGTATTATCAGTTGTGCACTAAAGTTTAGGTGTCTAGGGATTATTACAGTCCAAAGTGTAAGATACTTAATTTTAGGCATCTAGTGAAGTCTGTAACACACAGCAGGGATTTCCAGATCTCTTTTGGTAACTTAAGTGGAATTTAGACACCAGTTTACCAACCTACATCCAGCCCTATATTTCTCCAAGAAAACAGTTATAATCAAGTCAGTTTTAAATCAAATGAGAATAACAGATTCACAGAATATCTGTTCTACATTTAAAGAGCACATGGTGTGTGTTTGGGGCACATACACTGTATATGCTCCATGGGGAAAACACATTGTGGGCATGTCTACATGAGATGCTTTACTCAAGATGAGAGCAAATTACTGCGTAGTAAGCATCATCATCTACACGTGCAGCCAGGGGGCAGGGGGTAGGGAGATGGGGACGACTGCTCCCTGCCCCTGGGAGCTGCCTGCTGCCAGGATGAGCTCTGCCACTAGAACCTGGGCAGGGAGCCCCTCTGCAATTGCAGAGCTGGAGCTAGTAATAATAATCTCCTAGCCTCTGCTCCACAATCAAGGAGTTGGGGCTTGGAGATATGAATCTCACAGCCCCTGCTCCATGATCTGGGAGCTCCCTGCTGCTGGGACAGGGGAACACTGTCCCTACCTGGGCTCCACTAGTGGAGCCCGCCCCAGCAGCAAGCAGCTCTTGGGGCAGGGAGCAATCTTCCAGCCCCGCCAAAAGACAGCTGTCCCCTGAACCATTGCTCCTTGCCAGCCCCTGAGCTCCCCGTGGCTGCTGCAGGGGCCTGATGCAAGGTAGGTGGGGGCAGGAGCAGACTTATCAGTAAATTACTCTGTAAACCTGGGGTGGGCAAAATGTGGCCCATGGGCCACATGCGGCCTGCCAAATCATTCTATCTGGCCCACAGGGCCCCTAAAAAATTGAGAAAATTAATATGTATCTGCCCCTGGCTGCCTGTCATGCAGCCCTCAATGGCTTGTTTAAAACCCAGTAAGCGGCCCTCCACCCAAAATAATTGCCCGCCCCTGCTGTAAACCCACTCCTGGAGCATTTGCACATGTAGACATGCCCAGTGAATATGTAGTGGCATAATTCCTGTTTTACACTTTACCAAGCCTCTGCACTTAATGATAAAATCACAAAAGTAGGTTCTTTGAAGGCTACTTGATGTAGTCTCAAACATTTTTGGTTAATGTTCTATTAGGTCCTCCCTGGTTTAACCATGTCAAAATCAAAGCTTAAGAGGCAAAGTTCAAAAGCCCTAAGTTAGCACACCTGTTCTAAGAATTTGCAGAGTCAGTGTCCTCATCTACATTCAAGAGGTCTGATTTCAGAGCATCCAAGCCAGCAATGCCAACATCCATTGACCAGACGCAACAGAATTCTCCTACCTGAATGTGTACATTGACAAAATGCTCTGTTTGGCCATGATACACCCACTCTTTTGAGGTGATCTCCTTCTGCTCTGGGACATCCCACATTGGATCAACACCATCACAGTGATACCAGACAAGGAGCATCCCATTTACTTCACATGAAGGCCATGTCTTAATCTTTGCAAAGTCTGGCACTATAGAGGAGAGAAAGATGTTAACTCAGATCCGAAGTTTCAGCTCTGACATTGGTATCCTAGCTCTTCCAGTCCTGAGCTACAGTGGTGGAAACCATGGCCTAATAGAGGATATTGATGCTGCACAGCTTTCCTTGTTGGGATGTTTTTTTTCTCTCGTGCTTTCACTTAAGTCATAGTCAGAACCAGACCAGGGATAGATTTAAAAAAAAATAGATTTCTCATTTAAATCAGTTTACTTTAAATGGAATAATTTTATTTACATCCCTTTCTTTTTAATATGTATAATTTCAGTACCATGAAATTATACTTACGATTTAAGGACCATCACTGTGGAGTACTGCGTAAGTCTTTTAAAGGGACAAACCTAATATTGCTGGTTGATATTGAATTAGTCACTCAGATATATCCTGTTTTCATGGTCCCTAATGCAGTGACTGATTTATATCTAACGTATTGAATTAATTCTATAGTACCTGCTAACGGATGAATTACAAAACTCTGCTCTAAAAAGTGACAAGGACATTTATTGTCAGGCCCCTGGCAGGTATTCAGTTAAAGGCGCCCTGAGATCTGATGCATGATCCCAAAGATCATGCTTCCAGCCAGGCTATATGTGCTCAGCAGGAGATGCAATTGTGGGATTAGGGATTAGATCCCCACTGTGCCATGTTGCTGGTGCAGGGGGAGCCCGGGATCATGACCTCCAGGCTTCCCCTGCACCAGCAAAGGAAGCCAGTCAGCTGACTGCCACTCCCAGCCTTGGCGGCACACCAGAACCCTCGAGTCCAATTCACTGCAGAGGCAAGCAGCCCCAATCAACTGCCGCTCCCAGCCTCCAGGGCATAGCAGAGCCCTTGACTCCAGCTGCGCCTTGATTCAGCTGGCAGGAGCTCCCATGTGCTCATAGTTTCATAGTTGGTAGGGTGGGAAGGCACCTGAGCAGATCATCAAGTCCGACCCCCTGCCATGGGCAGGAAAGGATGCTGCGGTCAAATGACCCCAGCTAGGTGGTTGTCTAGCCTCCTTTTGAAGACCCCAGGGTAGAAGCAAGCACCACTTCCCTTGGAAGTTGGTTCCAGATCCTAGCTGCCCTGTGAGGGCTTCCTGATGTCTAACAGCCACCAGATCCCCTCTCACCCTTCTTTTGTAGAGGCTGAACAGGTTCAGGTCCCGTAGCCTCTCTTTGTCGGGCCTAC